TTTCTGCTTTACCGCCTTCTGTACCGTCTTAAACTCTGTTTTGGTCAGGCGCACACTATCCATATTCGTCGTCGCCCTGCAGTAATTGCATGTTAACAGACTTACTGTTGCCGCTTCAGTCCTTGATTGCATACCCTTCATGGTTGTTTGGTTGTTGCTGTTGGCGGGGGGCATGCAGACTCTGTACGGATCTTCTCAACCTTAAGCCCACCAGTTTACCATGTGATAGACTTCTAATCACCGACTTAATAATAATAATATTATTGATCTTTATTATTACTACTAGCAGAATCGCCGCCCTCCGGGCGGCTCATCCGCTAGGCCACGGTAGGACGCCACCCTCCGGGAGGCTCCACATTGTCTCACTGTTCAGTCCCCAAAACTTCTTCCTCCATCAATAGTTCATTAACGGTGTATGTAAGTTCCGCCAGGTTTTTCACTACAACGGTACAGCAAAGTATATTTTTTTAGCATTAAACTGTCATTATTTTATTGTCTAATTATCACTACATATAACACCACCCATCATCACTACATATAACATCATCCATCATCGCTACATATAACACCATCCATCATCACTACATATAACATCATCCATCATCACTACATATAACACCACCCATCATCATTACATATAACATCATCCATCATCACTACATATAACACCACCCATCATAACTACATATAACAATATCCATCATAACTACATATAACAATATCCATCATCGCTACATATAACATCATCCATCATCGCTACATATAACACCATCCATCATCACTACATATAACACCATCCATCATCACTACATATAACATCATCCATCATCACTACATATAACACCATCCATCATCATTACATATAACATCATCCATCATCACTACATATAACACCACCCATCATAACTACATATAACAATATCCATCATCACTACATATAACATCATCCATCATCACTACATATAACATCATCCATCATCACTACATATAACACCACCCATCATCACTACATATAACAACATCCATCATCACTACATATAACACCATCCATCATCACTACAGATCGGTAAAGTAGTTTCCGAGATTCTCGTGCAGACACACAAACAAAAACACACACACAAACAAACAAACAGACATACTTCTTTGTTTTATATAGATAGATGATACTTGCTTCTAATCTTTGCCCTGTTAGTAGGGCTTTAGCGTCAAGGTCCCTTTAAAAGCCCCGCCGGCTCGCTGCTAGTGTATATGCCGCTATGATTAGTGCCACCCACCGGGCTAACACAAATATTCTTAGGCTTAAGCCCAGTTTACAATGTGATATAATCACAAGAGTTGTCGAATTACCACTGGCTGTCCCGCCAGTTTCCGGTAATTTCCCGACAATTGGTATCAGATTTTGCCAAGGCTTTCGACAGTGTACCCCACGAAAGGCTGAAAATCAAACTGGAAGGGTACGGAATTCGGGGAAATGTCCTATCGTGGATAGAAGACTTTCTACATGACCGCAAGCAGTGTGTGGTGATTAATGGCACGAAATCATCATCCGTATCTGTCACAAGCGGGGTACCACAGGGCAGTGTATTGGGCCCGCTGTTGTTTGATTGTTTCATAAATGACATGTCTGACGTTGTACACTCCTCCATACAAATGTTTGCCGATGATGCCAAGTTATTTCGGGAAATCAAGAACCAAGCGGACTGTGAAGAGCTGCAGAAGGACCTCTGTGGGCTCCAGGAATGGTCGAAGAAATGGCTGCTGAAATTCAATGTCACGAAGCGTAAGAGGATGCACCTGGGGCGTACCAACGGTAAGGAGGCTTATCATATGTCCCAACGGGATGAAGAAACTGCACTATTTGAGACTGAATGTGAGAAGGACCTAGGTGTGTATGTTGACAATGAGCTGAAGTTCTCGGGCCATTGCGAGAAGAAGGTAAATCAGGCAAATAAATTATTGGGTCTTATAAGAAAGTCGTTCAGATATCTAGACGGTCCGTCCCTCGTAACGATCTTCAAGAGTGAAGTTCTTCCCCATCTGGAGTACTGTCACCCCGTCTGGTCCCCAAGATATGCTAGGGACTGTCAGTTGGTTGAAAATGCTCAAAGGAGGGCCACCAGACTGGTGCCTGTCCTTCGGCATCTCAGCTACCCTGAGAGATTGGAGCGCCTGAACTTGCCTAGCTTATACTACAGAAGGACAAGGGGTGACCTAATTGAGGTGTATAAGCATCTCAAGGGGCACTACTCAGTCGAGTGTCCTTACTTGGAGATGGCGGACGTTCTCCCCACAAGGGGTCACAGCTCAAGATAGAAGAAGCCACAAGTCCAGAAAACTGTGAGGGCAAACGTTTTCGGAGTGAGAGTTGTGAACTCTTTGAACAATCTACCAGAAAGTGTTGTGACGGCACCGAGTGTGAGCTCTTTCAAGACAAGACTTGACCAACACTGGAGCGGGTTCAGGTACATTCAGGAGCCGGTGCATGCCCAGTACTTGCCAACAGTACGTAACAGAGACGTGACCGATCGCCCAAGCGGCCAACGAGCCGATCAGTGGTGAAGAGGATAAAAGTAATAGGCAGGTAGATTTCCACCAGGTCACTGTAAAAGGGCAATGGCTTCACAGCTGGACTCCACACTTCGAATATATAGTTATCACACTATCAGTGTACAATTCCTTAGTCTTCTCACTTTATATTAATCACAACAATTCCACAATACTTACACAGCAATTGTCTTCAGTTGTTCTGTTAGGCTTAGTCGTTACACTAGGAACAGAGGCGAGCAACTAACTTACTCCTGGTTGGGGTTGGTGATTTGGAGAGAAGAGTACATTAGCTCTGAGGGTATAAGAAGGGTACAGTACAAGGTAAAATTCAGAAGTGGGAAATATAGGAGGTTGACAGCAGGTGGGCTATCCACCTTGCGGAGAACTTACTCCAAGGCAACCCGCTCCCGGTTATGTACGCCTCGTCAGACGCTTCTCGAACATCCTAGAATAACCCAGAGACGCCTGGGAGATTCTAGAACGTTCTACTCTGATCGAGGCTTAAGCCCCGTCCACACGATCGAGCAGTGCCCGGCGGGCTTTGCCCGTTTACCGGGCAAAGCCTGTGTGTTGTTGTACACACGGGGGTGGTTGGCAGCAGTCATAGTCGGGCGCCGGTAGCTAGTAGGTGGTCGGCAGTGGCGGGTGCGGTACGATCACCATGGTGTGTCGCAGGAATAATCGCCGGACAGTTAAAGCGAAGAGCATAGCGTTGTGTACTATAATAATTGCTGCTATGTGCAAAAACAAGAACCAAATGCAGAAAAGGGAATGGTGCAAAGAGTGGTTAGGTCGAAGAAAAGTATTGGGAAGTCATGCCACGATTTTACGTGAACTGCAAGATGGACATGAGCAAGACTTCACCAATTACATGAGAATGGACCCCAAACTTCTAGCGAAAGTGGAACCATATATAAAAAAACAGGATACCAATTTGAGGGAGAGTATATTTGCAGAGGCTCGTCTAGAGGCAACGCTCATATATCTTTCAACTGGGTGCACCTACACGTCACTTCAGTATAGAACGAGGATATCAAAACAAAGTTTGTCTTGCATAATACCTGCAACTTGTCAAGCCATGTATGAAGTACTCAAGGAAGATTACTTGCAGGTGAGATTTGTAGTAGATAAAAATTCATTGAATGATGTGAGAATTATGATATACATAGACAGGAAGCTATGGGACTGGAGTGAGGAGAGCGGCAGGAACGAAGAACACACACGAATGTCCTCATTACATAATACATAAACAATCTCCCGTTTATTGTCATGCCAATAATGTACATTGCATAAGCTTATTTGGTTATACACTGGACATCTGGACCGAGCTGGGAACATATATGTATCACATTTGCAGTACTTAACTCAGGTTTTACAAAGTGCTAGCGTACGTTCTGTCAGTATCTCTGTTCACACCTCACCGACTTGAGGACCCGACCCCCGAGGTCAGCGGTGGCGTAGTGATCAGCTGTTTTTGAGTCACGTGAGGTTCCAATAATAACACTTGTCTTGTATTGCAGGCTTGTGTAATGTTGAATATTAATGACAATATTATAGGGATATCGGTTTTCCGGTTTTATCGTTTGTCTGGCAGAGTCGTCTCTCCATATCAGGCAGCAAACCACCAGGCAGGCGGACCATGATTTCGCTCAACGACGGGCACGGGCAATCCGCTGGTTTGCCGGCCAATTTTGCCCGGTAACGGGCATTGCTCGATCGTGTGGACTGGCCTTTACGATAAGAAGTAAATCAGAACATAAATGCTGCAATACATTGTATAATATTCTTGCATAATTAATACATCAGTATATACACGAAAATTTCACTAAATTTGCCCAAATAACTTGCTGAAAACAATCAAAATACCTAATTTACAAAAGTATAATACGAAATTATGTATGTATGTAGAAGTCGGCGTGTTTATCGGGCTAATGAAATATATATATGGATCCTCGTATTTCGAAGCCGGATTTGGTAAAACGTTACTCTAACCACCTACGTGATACTGGTAGTCCCCATTAGAGGTTCACTGTACCATAAGCTCGTTGAACAGGCTATATATATATATATATATATATATATATATATATATATATATATATATATATATATATATATATATATATATATATATATATATATATATATATATATATATATATATATATATATAATATTAGAGAGAGGGAGTACAGTAGTCATCTTTGTATTCATCCACCGATTATTTTCGTTCTGTGTTTGTTTTTAGTTTATTAGTTGACCTTTCTAACCTAGCCTAATTATTCCTAAACTAACGTAACCTGACTTAACCTTACCTAACCTCTCCTTTCACAAACTACCGTAAACTAACTTTACCTAAACCAACATAACTAACTTAGCCTAACTTAGACTAACCAAACCGAACCATACCCTACATTTGACAGTGCATATTTAACGTCGGTTTTTCGTAATAGGAGTTGGAGGAGCAGAACAGGCTGCTGGTCCGCGTAGGCAAGAGGCAGGAGGCGACCCTCACCCGCTACCAGGACACCAAGACCGAGCTGCCACACATCATTGAGGCTCACAAGATGGAGATCAACGTCCTACAGGAGAAACTTCGTCGGGTAGGTCCTGCTTCTACGGCATCTATGTTAGTGTGTGTGTGAGTGTCCTTAAATCTACCAAATAAACCAAATCTAAGTAAAACTAATTGAACTAAACCTAGACAAACATAACCTTCTGTAATAGAGGCTATAGAGGTTAACTTGGTATAGAGGGTAGGCCAGGTAGGTGCCCCCCTCTGACGTGGTGCAGCTTCCATGGTCGCCCTAAAGAACGTGTTGGCAAGTTCCCACTTCTTGCCATAAATCATTCCTGAGGGTATTCGATGATGATATTCACAAGAATTGGAAAATTTGAACCATCTCTTTAACACTTATAATAAATGCAGTTATAATTGGCTTGTGCTAACCTTGGGAGGGGGGGAATTTATATTCTTGAACCTGATGCACCAGGATCACCTTCGGTCCCACCTTAGGAGTACATAGGTTTCTCTAGATATGTATCTCAAAATATTCCCCCAAATCAACTGCTGGGCATGATCAGACATACAGTAGTTATCAAGCAGAGTTCCTTGGGAATCGAACCCTGGACCTCTGCGTGTGAACTGGGATCGCTACCACCGCGCCATAAGGACAGCAATGGCATTTCTAGCTTTTGTTATATTCCACACAAAGCCTGTTCATCGTGCTTTTTAAGCGCCGTGAACCTCCATTGAGGATTGCCCGTGCCAACTATGTGGTCAGAGTAGCATTTTACCGAATCCAGCTAGGAAACACAAGGCTACATATATATCTCATCAGTCCATATAGCATGCGGACTTCCATAAACAAACATTACCGCACTTGTCGGGAATCGAACCCTGTACCTCTGCGTGTGAACAGGAATCGCTACCACTGCGGTATATTGGCGACTTACAGAAGGCTCTGGAACTTCCACAGTGGCTTGGTGGATTCCAAGAGGTATTGGAGCTTCCAGAAGGTGGTACAGTAGATGACTTTTGATAGTACTGGAAGCTTCTGAGGTTATTGGGAAAGCACTGATCCCTATAATATTACTGTAGACACATTGACTCCCTTATTATTAATTCCATACACATATTAGTCCCCATATTATTATTACCATACACATTAGTTAATACAGTACATATTTTTTTACTAATATCTTATTAGCTTATAAGTATGTTGTATTATTTTATATTTGTTGTATTATTTCATATTGTATTAATGTACAGTATCTCAAAAAAGTATCTGCCAGGATGGGTCCGATAACTTCCAAAATGCTACATGCAACTCATGATGTCCCTGGGTATTGATCCTACTACATTTAGTAGTCGAACATCATATTAATTAAGTCTTCGTGTGTGGGTAGGCACCCGAAGACTTATCCCGAAAGTTCTAACTAGTTATGTATGAAAAGAAAGTCTCTGAAATACAATATACGGGTATGAATATTAAAATGAGAAAATAAAGAAAACAATATTTTAATGTCCTAATAACCAATTCTGACGAAAATGTATGTATTTTTAAGACCCCGGCATGTACCCCTCGTGACGTTTACCTTCAACTCCGAATTTGTCTACCTATCGCGCTTCTCTCAAATTTATCTAGCATTTGGTGGATTGTTGAAGTAATAGTATACAACAAGTGTCACCTGTGAGACCGACGCTGATAATTACCTTGAATAATTTTTTTCCAATCTATATTTCACTGTTTGGGTTGTTGTTCTGGAGGTGCTTACAGAAGTACTACCAGTGCTTGTTAGGTTAGGGTACGTGACTGATCGCCCAAGCGACTAACGAGCCGATCAGTGGTGAAGAGGATAAAAGTAAAAAAATAAAGTATAATTAGGGCTGGAAAAAGTGTCTTAATTAATTAATGATAAGACACTACTGTACCGTATATTAAATCATGACATAAATATCTTTAATTTATAAAACCACAAAAATAAAAAATGAATAAATACAAATGAAAAAACCACGAAAAATTACCAATATACCAAGTTATGTCCTTATAGTACAATACAGTACAGTACATAAGGCAGATAAAGACAAAACACTAAATTATACTTGAATTTAATTTAAAAAGACCAAGAATTACAATTTTGATATGATGAATTACTTACTAGGAACAAATTAAATTGATAGAAGATCATATAGTAAAACACTTGTAGGAATTCGTGGTATAATGTTGTCTAGCACTCAGGATGGATGGAAACTCTAAGGTGGTTTTCTTGTATAATATAAGTTATATGATAGACAGTCTGGTGCTGGGGGTGCCGTGTGATGAGGAGCTGCTCAGTAGAGACGTTCGGTGAGTAGGTGAGTAGCGTGTTGTAGGAGGTAGATGTGCAGGAGCTTCATTAGAGAAGATGTTGCCTGTTGCTGGCCTCCTGGTTGAATGAATGCTAACAGCGTGGAGCTTGCTGGAGTAGGTGTTGCGTGTTCAAGAAGAATGGCCAGAATGAGAGTTGATGGTGAGGAAGCTCAGAGAAGGACAGCTGGTGGGTCGCCATGCCCGCCGGCGGGAGCGAGGACCGCCAGGCAGGCGGAGGAGAGGCGAGGGCCGCCAGGCAGCGGCGGAGGAGGAGGTGTTGCGTGTTGTAGAAGTGAGGCCCGAATGAATCTCAATGGAGAGACAGAGCTTATATACCCAGCAGCCGTGAGTCATCTATGAGTCATGTTGGGAAAACCCGAGAAAGTCGCCGGTCTTTGGTTCCGTTGCTAGGGAAGGTGGTAACATCTGGTGACGCCGCTCGTTTGGTTGCTAGGATAAGGTAGCATCGGAATGCGGATACGCAGTTGTAGGGGAGAAGTCCACTACACACTGAACAATTAATTATTATATTGTACAGTACTGCAAAACTTTTCTGAATTCAAAATAATTTAGTTTATTTTGCAAACTAAAATAACATGCTGTAATATAATTAACTGGCAATATTCCTGATAATTTCATAAAGCATGGGGCAGGCATATTAATTCTACAGTATTGTACTGTACTGCCAATTTTGTCTTAATTCTTACTTTTTTTTTTACTTTTATCCTCTTCACCACTGATCGGCACGTTAGCCGTTTGGGCGATCGGTCACGTCTCTGTTACGCACTGTTGGCAAATACTGGGCATGCATCGGCTCCTGAATGTACCTGAACCCGCTCCAGTGTTGGTCAAGTCTTGTCTTGAAAGAGCTCATACTCGGTGCCTTCACAACACTCTCTGGTAGATTGTTCCAAGAGTTCACAACTCTCACCCAGAAAAAGTTTGCCCTCACAGTATTCTGGACTTGCGGCTTCTTCAATCTTGAGCTGTGACCCCTTGTGTGGGGCGAGCGTCCGCCAGCTCCAAGTAAGGAGACTCGACTGAGTAGTGCCCCTTGAGATGCATATACACCTCAATTAGGTCACCCCTTGCCCGTCTGTAGTATAAGCTGGGCAAGTTCAGGCGCGCCAATCTCTCAGTATTGTACATACAGGTATCTCTAGCTACACCAGCGTTCACTCCGCCAATATTCACAAACACAAATATTCTTTTCTTACACCACTTTCTCACTATATAAAACCCATGGTACCTTAAGGTAATGTACTAAGTTTATATCCCATTCACTTCTTAATGTGATAGGTGCTAAATTACAGTAATTAGGTACTAAATTACATTAGTTAGGTCCTAGTTTATAGTAGTTAAGAAGGATTTTTTCTTTGTGAACTGATTTCATTTGTTTTAGGAATACATTGGGGGTTTTCTTGTAGTTAGGTACAGTACTGAACTATAATAGTTAGGTACTAATTTACAGTAGTTGCTAACTGCACACCTTATTTCCAGGGGTGACAAGAAATAAAAATAATTGTAAATGGATGTAACAGAATACTTCTGGTGCATTTCAAGGCAAGCAAAGGACTAATTGTCATAGGTAGGAGTATACAATAAATGAACAATATCACAATGCATATGAAATAATAATCTAATTGTCTTTACAAGAACTGAAGGAACAGTTAAAGCATAAAAAATTATAGAAAATACAGTACAGTACTGTACTATGATTTTATATTCTCCATTAAGAGGAAAAGCTGTACAGTACAGTACAGTTTTGTGCTCTTTTATCATGTCTTTTAGTGTTCTCTTTTGTGTTTCTTGAAAAAGAAGCTTTACAACCACCACTTGTGCTTCAGCATTCAAATTTGACACCACAGATCAAGCTGATTTGTTTACATTTATCTTGCCCAGGCCTACCAACCCTCCCTAGTTGTGGCATTGTGGTTACTAAATGGTAACCTGAATGTACAATCTGCTAATGGAGTTTGACGAATCCATTTGTCAGGTTACTAAAACTTAACCCGACATTCGGGATTGCTCTTCGGACTTGCTGCCTGGAGTGTTTAAAAAAATAGCTTGATAGTGTTTCACACAAGAGTGTGGACAGATACTTTTTGAGATACTGTACCTGTATATTGTATTACTGTATTATATATGTGTGTTGTATTTTTTATTGCATATGTGTCAGTCAACGGAGATGAACCGTCGAAACACGGAGAAGTTAAAGGTGACAGACTCGCGTATCAACAAGCTGACGGAGGAGGTGACCCGCCTACGAGAGCTAAGCCGCAAGAGGAACCTGCCAGAGCGTGATGAACTAAACAAAAAGCTGAGTGCCGCCACCCAGACACTGCAGGAAAAGGAGAAGCAAATAGAGGTACATACATTCGGTCCAAAATGTATCTTTACGATTTGGTGTAAGAGAATAATTATGACAGAACTGAGGAAGGATTTTGACAATCTTACCAAGACAACAGGAGTCACCGTGTTCATTTTGTAATTCATCAGACTTCATCATAAAGATACATTTTGGAGTGAGTACGTTACTGACTACGTGTATCTTCTGATCAAGAAAGTTGATTAAATAACTCAGGTGTTTCATCCTGTAAATTGAAAGGTGAAGAATTAACTCAGGTACTGTATTTAATGGCGTTAATTACTGTAAAAAGGTGAACAAATAATTTACAAGAAAATATAAATAGCAGTAAAAAAGGTCGTCAAAATAGGAAGTTACCTGGTAATTTGGGGAGCCTAAACTTTTAACTTAAATAAGTTTTTCCATCATGGCAAAAAGTTTGTTTTAGGTTGAGGGCCTTATAAGGCTACTTCATGTTTCACTCTGTAAATGACCAGGTGCAGAATTTCTAAAACAAAAACCTGTAGAATTTATGGAGTTTTGTCTAGTAAGTGAAAGGGTGAAGAAATTAGGGAATTTCATCTTGTAAATGCAATGGCAAGGAATTTTCACATTATAAATGTAAATGCAGTGCAGGGTATAAATGTGAAGGAATATTTAAATAATGAGAAATTGGTTCACTACCTCACACCACTGACACAATCCCACATATATTTTGGACCTCTCACTCATGACATCTTTTGCCCGGCATGTAATACTTCCTCTTCTTACACTTGCTTAACTTAGTTTTAATGTCACATACAGTATTAAGTGTCATTCCATAAATTGTTCTGTACAGTATTACCTTTGGGAACTTTGCATTTCATTCTAAGACATGTAGGAACGGGTGAGGTCACAGGCGACACAACAATTGATCATGACTATGATATATACTACGTAAAGCACAAGAACAAAATATACCAGATTGAAAAATTAGGTCAAATAAGAATGAGCCAAGGTGGATGACCAAAAAACTTATATATGACATAGGAATAAAGAAAGGAATTTATAAGAAGTTAAAGGAAGGGGAGGAGCATCTCAGAGATAGGTATAATGAACTATCTAGGAATGTTAAGATAAATGTAAGGAAGGCAAAGAGAGACTACGAAATCAGGATAGCAAGAGAATCCAAGGCGAATCCCAAGGGATTTTTCCAGGTATATAGGACAAAGGTCAAGGACAAAGTGGGACCTTTAAAGTCAGAGAGAGGGGAAGTGATCGACGATAGTGAGGAAATAAGCAAAGCATTAAACAGCTACTTCTTATCAGTTTTCACAGAAGAAATTCACGAGGAAATTCCAGAGGTGGAACTAATATTTAGGGGAAATGAAGAAGAGAAATTAAGGAATATCACTATCAGAAAAGAGGATGGTCTTAAGAAGATAAATAAATTAAAGAAGACAAAATCCCCAGGGCCGGATGAAATTCTCCCTCGAGTTTTGAAAGAGTGTAAGAAACAAATTAGCGGACCCCTTGTAAATATATTTACTAAATCATTAGACACGGGAGTTGTGCCAGACTTGTGAAAACAGGCATATGTAGTACCCATATGCAAAAAGGGAGACAGAGCATCAGCGTCAAATTACCGGCCAATTTGTTTGACGTCAGTAGTGGGGAAATGTCTTGAATCAATTATAGCAAATACCATCCTATCGCATTTAGAAAAACAAATTAATCTACGACTCTCAAAGTGGATTTACAAAGGAAAAATCTTTTCTAACAAATCTGATGACGTTTTTTAGGAAAGTCTTCGAGGTAGTAGATAATGACGAAAATTACGATGTTATTTACTTAGACTTTAGCAAAGCGTTTGACAGAGTACTGCACATCAGAGGCTTCTGATAAAAGTTAAGGCTCATGGTATTGAAGGGAAAGTTTTAAATTGGATAAAATCGTGGCTCACCGATAGAACACAGAGGGTCAGCATAGATGGTGTTACATCTGAGTGGGGCTGTGTAACCAGTGGGGGTTCCCCAGGGGTCAGTACTGGGCCCACTTTTGTTCATAATCTACATAAACGATCTAGATACTGGGATCAGCAGTGACATAAGCAAGCTTGCGGATGACACCAAAATAAGGCAGCAGATTAATTCAGGGCAGGATGCAAATGCACTACAGGAGGATTTAAATAAACTGCAGGAGTGGTCAGAAAAATGGCAAATGAAATTCAACACCAGCAAGTGCAGCATACTTAATATTGGAAGAACAAATACTGTCAATGTACACAGCCTTAACAACATCAACCTAGAGAAGTCGACTTGTGAAAGAGACTTAGGGGTACTTGTAAGCCCGGACCTACGGCCTAGAAAACAGTGCGTTAATGTTCGAAATAAGGCAAAGAGAGTATTAGGTTTTATATCTAGAAGTGTAAGTGATAAGAGTGCAGAGGTCTTATTGCAACTATATCTTGCACTAGTCAGGCCGCACCTCGATTATGCTGTTCTGTTCTGGTGCCCTTATTATAGAATGAATATCAATTCACTGGAGTCGGTGCAGCGAAGAATGACGAAAATGATTCCGGGACTTAGAAACTTTCCTTATCAAGATAGGTTAAAGAAACTAAACTTGCATTCCCTAGAAAGACGAAGAGTGTGGGGAGATAGGATAGAAGTAATTAAGTGGGTGAAAGGAATCAATAAAGGAGATATAGATAAAGTTCTTATAATATTCGAGCAGGATAGGATTCGTAGCAACGGATTTAAGTTGGATAAGTTTAGGTTTAGGAGGGAGATAGGAAGGAACTGGTTCACAAATAGGGTGGTGGGCGAGTGGAAAAAGCTTAGCAACTTTGTACGAAGTGCTGGAACGCTGGAAAATTGAAAAAGGAGGCTAGATAGATTCATGGATGATAGAGAGTGGTAGGAACTCTCGACAGGAGCTGCCATGCAAAGGCCAACCGGCCTATTGCAGACTCCTAATGTTCTTATGTTTCTTATGCACTTGCCAGCAGTGTGTAACAGAGCTGTGACCGACCGCCCAAGTGGCTAACGAGCCGAACTTTGGTGAAGAGGATAAAAGTAAAAGTACTTGCAACTGCTGTGTATTGAATATACTATAAAACAGTTACATTATTTGACATTATTTCTTTCACTTAAAATCAGCCACACGAGTAGAACCATACTAACATATTATACCTTTAAACCCTAATGATCTCCAACACACTTTTTCAGTATCAAAACAACACTGACACTTGTGATCACTTATGTAGTCTTGTTTAGTGTACTTTTAAGTACAAATTATCAGTGTCAGTATTTCTTCCCTTACTGACGCCCATGACCACATGTGTTGAAATTATATTTACTATAATAAAATAATCTTTTACATCACTATTTTTCAGCTCCACTATCACATTAATATTTGTAACCACATGTTTGTTGTTACAGGAGCTGCAGCGACGCTCAGGTGTGATAGAGAAATCCCTGAAGCAGCAAGTACAGGCGGAGGTGGGTCGTCACAGAGCCACTGCCAGGAAGCTTTACAACCTTCAGTGTGAAAACCACAAACTTAATGACACTCTTATGGTCAGTCCACTATCATATTATTTGGTTGTAGGTCAAATGGGCCTACATAAATAAGGCCTAACCTGACTTTGCCGCTGCCACTGAGTTCCTTAAAGATTTGGATATGTTATGACTGAGGCCCAATTGGAATGAATCTTATTAGAAGTTGGCCTAATCCTTATACTGTACTGTAGTTAGTTTAGAGCCTATTATGACGAGGTTTAGTTCAGGCTTGAGACCCATTTTGACTAAACCCCAGTCCTATTGGTAATGTCATGTCAGGGACAGAGAGCCATTTGATTTTTTTTAATTTTCTTTCTCAGGAAGTCACAATAATTCAGCATGGTATAGCATATGACCAGATAAAAGTTATTTTTATTATGATTTGTTTCTTGATGAGAAAATGTGTATGGCAAATATTCAGACTAAAATTTTTTTATCACCATCATCACTCTTTTACAGTTATTTACCCTGCTTTTGTGGGTTAGGCTTGATTACCTGATGGCAGCTCTCCAAGCTGCAGTCTCTTGGAACCTTTCTTGTTGTGTTTTTATCTCAGATCATTTCTCATAACCTCTTCCCATGTCATTCTTGTCCTACCCCAAGCTCTCCTCTCTACCATATTTACTCCATTCTCTCCACAGAATCTTTTTTTTTTGCTTTTATCCTCTTCGCTGCTGATCGGCTCGTTAGCCACTTGGGCGGTCGGTCACGTCTCTGTTATGCACTGTTGGCAAGTATTGGGTATGTACTGGCTCTTGAATATATCGGTACCTGCTCCAGTGTTGGTCAAGCCTGGTCTTGAATGAGCTCACACTTGGTGTCGTCACAACGCTCAGTGGCTGATGGTTCCAAGAGTTCACAATTCTCACTCCGAAAAAGTTTTCCCTCACAGTTTTCTGGGCTTGTGGCTTCTACAACCTTGAGCTGTGACCCCTTGTGGGGTCACAGCCCCCTTACATGCTCATAAACTTCGATTAGGTCGCCTCTCGCCTGTCTAGTGTAAGCAAGGTAGTTGCAGGCATTCTAGTCTCTCTGGATAACTGAGGTTCCGTAGAGTAGGCACCAATCTGGTGGACCTACTTTGAACATTTTCAATCAATTGACAGTCTCTAACATACCTCAGGAACCAGATGGGGTGACAGTACTCCAGACAAGGAAACGCCTCACTCTTGAAGATTGTGGCGAGCGACGGACCATCCAGGTATCTAAACGACCTTCATAAAAGACCTACTAATTTCGTTGCCTGATTCACCTTCTCACAATGGCCCGAGAACTTAAGTTCATTGTTGACATACAGATTCAGGTCCTTTTCAGATTCGGTCTCAAATAATGCAGTTTCTTCGTCCCGTTGGAACATGCGATACGCCTCCTTACTGTTGATGCGTCCCAGGTGCATCATTTTGCACTTCGTGACATTGAATCTTAGCAGCCATTTCTTTGACCATTCGTGAATCTCATAAAGATCTTTCTGTAGCTCTTCACAGTCTGTTTGGTTCTTAATTTTCCTAAATAACTTGGCATTGTCTGCAAACGTTTGTATAGTGATGTACAGCTTCTGGCATATCATTTATGAAACAAACAAACATCAAAGGGCCCAATACACTGCCCTGTGGTATCCCGCTTGTCACAGGTACACAGGATGATTTCATACCATTTATCACCACACATTGTTAACAGTCATGCAGAAAGTCATGCTAGGACACTTCCCCAAATCCAGTACCCTTCCAGGAAAATAATTTGATCAATGCCTCCGTCTTATCCTCGTCAGAAAATGCATAACTACCATCTTCAATCCTCAGGTCCGATATGCCTACTCGTGTTTTTAATTTTGACTTTACGTAGTGGTAAAAAGTCATTAGGTTTGACTTGACCTTACTTGCAATCTGCCTCTGGAACTATTTTTCAGCCTTTCTACACTCTGACTTTGCTTGGTTCCTGGATGTGGCTACATCCTCCTGTCCTGCTTATCATTTATTCTAACCCACGCCTCAAAATCCTGTGTTTTCTTAACTTTGTCGACCGCCGCATGGTTCATGTGTAGCGGTCTCTTGTATTCCTGGAGGCACTGAGTTTGGTCTTGGGTATATATTTCTCGATCAAATGGTTAACTTTACTGGCTATGATATTCAGCGTAATATCTGTGTTCTTATTCCTAAATAAATCAGGCCAGTGTATACTTCTCATTTCCTCCCCCACCCTGTTGTAATTTCCTTTGTAATGTTTGAACCTGAACCTGGTTTTTTCATGAATCAAGTAACAGTTAAATTTGAAGGACAATGTTACGTGGTGGCTGGTGCCAACTGGGGCTAGGTGTTCCAGATTTGTCACCGTACCCTCCTCATTAGTTATAATGAGGTCCAGTGGTTTGGGTCTTTGCTCCCCTCTGTAGTGAGTTGGATCTTTAACCTGTTGGAATAGAAAATTATCTCTCAGAGTTTCTACAAAGAGTGGCTTGTTTATTTAGGTCGTTTGGCATAGACTCATTTCTCCAGTCGATGTCGCCATAATTAAAATCCTCCATGACAGGGAGGTGGCTTGTGTTTAGCGTCGTTTCATTGTCAATTAAGGCTGTTAAGTTCCTTTGGTTTAATATGCTATATCTTGGGGATCTGTAGATACATCCCACAATGAATAAGTCTCTCCCTTTCAGTTTAATTTTACACCACTTTGATTCTTCTAACATCCTCTCCCTGCACTCTCAGCTGGCTGGCTCTAAGGTCTCTCTAAGCATAGATAACCACACCCCTCTTGCAAATTTCTTATGAAACGTTCGTAAATGAGTCATATCCATCTATTTTGAACTCGCATTCCTCCGGTTCGATTCTCCTGTTCTTGTACAACAGTTTTACAACACCTACTACAGCATATCAGGTTGATGTACCCTCAGTAGTTTTTCAAACTCCGCTGTCTTGTCAAGGAACGTGTCAGTATTAGTGTACATGACTTTCAAGCCGAAAATTTTCCTCGGTAATGTCTCGGTAGCTGCCTCGTTTACTGTATCCCTTGTGTTTTGTGGGGTGTGATCAGAGATGACATTATTTACATGGCACTCGCCGCCTCCTGGGTGGGAGGTAGAGCGCATGGGGGTGTCCCACTGCCCCCTGGCTCTGAACTGGTGCACTTGCTTCCACTACATTCCCCCTGTATATAACCCAAGTGCGTCTGTCCCAGCTCCTCATCGATTCCTACCCCGTCTGCTTCAATCACTCAAGGAGTTTTATGTGCTGTTCCCTCTGCATTACCGTGCGATCTGGGTTTATGAATATACCCTGAAATGTATCGCTCCTTGCTCACTCACTCACTAGTGTGATCCTGAGGGGGCGGGGCTTGTCCTCCTGCCTTTATCCCAGCCTCCTCACATCCTGAGTGGGAGCTGATAACTTCAGAGCCTCACCACAAATATTCTGAATTTTCAACTTATTGTGAGTTTTTCTAGTTTCAGCTTCCTCCGACTGGCTCTCAGGGACTTCGAACACAATTACTGTATGTTGTTCCTGTGCTTGGAATGTTTCCATTAATGGTGGTTAATGGCACGAAATCATCATCTGTACCTGTCTCAAGCGGGGTACCACAGGGCAGTGTATTGGGCCTGCTGTTGTTTGTTTGTTTCATAAATGACATGCCTGACGCTGTACACTCCTCCATACAAATGTTTGCGGATGATGCCAAGTTATTTTGGGAAATCAGGAACCAAGCGGACTGTGAAAAGCTGCAGAAGGATCTTTGTGAGCTTCAAGAATGGTCGGAGAAATAGCTGCTGAGATTCAATGTCACGAAGTGTAAGAGGATGCACCTGGGACGTACCAACGGTAAGGAGGCGTATTGTACGTCCCAACGGGATGAAGAAACTGCACTATTTGAGACTGAATGTGAGAAGGACTTAGGTGTGTTTGTTGACAATGAGCTGAAGTTCTCGGGCGATTGCGAGAAGAAGGTAAATCAGGCATTAATTATAAAGTCTTACAAGAAGGTCGTTCAGATATCTAGACGGTCCGTCCCTCGCAACGATCTTCAAGAGTGAAGTGCTTCCCCATCTGGAGTACTGTCACCCCGTCTGGTCCCCGAGATATGCTAGGGACTGTCAGTTGGTTGAAAATGTTCAAAGGAGGGCCACCAGACTGGTGCCTGCACTTCGGCACCTCAACTACCCTGAGAGATTGGAGCGCCTGAACTTGCCTAGCTTATACTACAGACAGGCAAGGGGCGACCTAATTGAGGTGTACAAGCATCTCAAGGGGCACTACTCAGTCGAGTGTCCTTACCTGGAGCTGGCGGATGCTCGCCCCACAAGGGGTCACAGCTCAAGGTTGAAGAAGCCGCAAATCCAGAAAACTGTGAGGGCAAACTTTTTCGGAGTGAGAGTTGTGAACTCTTGGAACAATCTGCCAGAAAGTGTTGTGACAGCACCGAGTGTGAGCTCTTCCAAGACCAGACTTGACCAACACTGGAGCAGGTTTAGGTACATTCAGGAGCCGGTGCATGCCCAGTACTTGCCAACAGTGCATAACAGAGATGTAACTGATCGTCCAAGCGGCTAACGAGCTGATCAGTGGTGAAGAGGATAAAAGTAAAAGTAAAGTATATCATTAGGTCTACTAGTTGTCAGCTCTTCAACACACTTCTGCAGAGTCCCTAGCTGCATTACTCTCCGTCACCTTTTGTGACCCTGCTGCAACCTGAGCATCGCTCCTCTGAACTACTGTACTTCCTCTTTTCTGTCAGCTACTTCCCCAGCCTTAGTGTGGATCTCTTTCTCAACCTGCTCCAGCTTGGGAACCAACATGGATTTAGCTTCCTCTCTTATTGTCTCCAAGTATCTTTTTCTCCCGTGATCTTCAAACATCTCGTTTACTTTGATTTTGCAGTCAGGGCAATACCAGCAAGAGCCTTCATGTTTTACCACATTCTGCATCATCTTAAATGCTGTTAAGCCCAGACCCACACCATTTACATCAGACGTCGCCTTTGCAGTAACTGCATGTCAACAAACTTCCTGGTAATGCTGGGGCTTTAGCCCC